GGGTACGTCGCTGCATATTGCCACTGCGCGGTGGTCAGATCCCACGTCGAGCGCAGACGCGGCCCCGCAGTCCCGAGCGGTGGTCCGGAAACCCCGGTTGCATAGTATGTAGTCGAATTATCGGGGTGTTTGCGTGGACCCATAAATGCGCGTCGCAGTTGAGTTTTTTTTTTTTGAAAATGCACAGGCCAGTGCCAAAATGTTGGTCGCAGCCCAATTCTTCAACCACTGCCCCCTGGAGTTCATCCCAGGGCCCCCCCACCATCCGATTGATCGTTTGTCGTCTTCTTCGGTCCTCTCCCCGACCATTGCGTTGCAGTCAGCACGTAGTACGGAATACAATCTGTGTGTTTGCATATGCACAGACGCAGCCCAACATATCACATGTACGTTGCACGCGTTTGTCCCCGTGTCCGCCGTGGGCAAAGCACGCCGTGGCCACCCGTATTTTGAACCCCCTCCTGTGTATGCTTACGTAGGCAATGCGTTCGTTGACAAGCTTAAAACATGAAATGAGACACCCACCGCTTGTGTAAAACTATTGCAACACCTTGCCGAGGCTTCGCATACCCAGATCTCAAGAAAACATGTCCACAAGGCATAAAAATCGTCATTGGTATCCCTTGTCGTCTCGTTGATAGAAACCGCATCCCAATGGAGATCACGCAATTCACCCATAAGTTCCTCCAATATGTTGTCGTTGGCGGGCCCTCGAGAGTTGAGGTGGATCGCAACAAACTTGTCTGGTGGAGGCCCGTCGGCAATAGCCGTCCGAGGGATAGTGACTGCATCTGTCTCGCACGCCGTCAAATTCCTCTCCAGGGGATCGTTGTTTGGACGCGTTGATGGTGAAACTGGAATCGGTGGTATTACCACTTGTGAAAGTGTAGGTGGTGAAACTACGACTTGTGAAACAGGAGCGGGTTTGGAGGTGGATACTGCGTCGGAGCTGGAGTCGGGAGCCGGAATAGGTCTGTAGATGACATGTTTGCCGTCGCTGGAGTATGGTACCTGGTCGACGGCGCAGTCGGGGAATGGAGTAGACGCACAAACCACCTGCTCGCCCTCGTGTCCTGGGGCGGAAGACCTCTTGAGAGCTGGACGGGGTAGACCTCAGGGAGACTGGAACGTCCCCAAGAATGTTCAAGAACTTCCCCCTGCCACCTTTTGCAGCAATAACTGATGGAAACCGATGTGTTGCAATTTTCGACATGGTCCCGTTCTCTTGGTTTCTGGTTGAAGCGACATGTAAAAATCCAACATCTGAGGCAACGTGGTGGCATGAGGGTTAGGATGGGGAACTAAGGTTGGGGTTGGAGCCAGAAGCCGGAGTAGATGCACAAGTGGCCTGGTTAGGAAATGTAGCTGTCGGCGCTGGTGTCGGTGATGACGCGGTAGGTGCAGTAGTGTCCAGCTTGTCGAACACGGGGTAACACGTGGTCCTGCGGCGACAGGTTTCCTGAGACGACACGCCGGGAGTCCTGAAGGATAACTGGACATCCCCTGGAATTGTTACGTCCTTCCCCCTACCACCACCTGCAGCACGTGCTATTTGGAGCGCCGTGGGACTGGAATCTATGGAACCACTGTTGTCCCTTTCAATATTCGAAGCAAGACTCAAAAATCCACGATCAGATCGAGGGGTACGGGAAACTAACTTTGCAACATCATGTTGATTGCCACCCGTCCGTGGTCGTGGAGCGTCCGTCGTGGGAGAAGCGGTAGCTTGAAGCGGCACTTCCCAAACAGTCCGTGGTCGTGGAGCCGCCGTCGTGGGAGAAGTGGTAGCTTGAAGCGGAACTTCCTCATTAGTTCTGGGCGAACGGAATGGTCCTGCGTCGGAGTCGCTCTCTGCAGGGACCAAAGCTCCTACATATTCCTCAAGAGGTGTCGGAAGGAAGGCGTTGGGAAGTCTTCTTAAAACTGATTGCATGGGTTCTGGAGAAATTGCTTTCGAAATTGATGTTGTAGAGGCCCTCCAACTACTTGGACTGGTATTTGGTTAGTTCCTTGCCGGGCGCGTCGTTGTCACGTCACTCGCAGTCTGTGTCTGGTTCTGGGCGTACCTTTTTAAAACCATTTCTCGATATGTGAGAGAGCGTGATCCACCGCCGCTTTACTGTAAAAAATTCCCCCCGCCTCTTCCTCCGGAACCCGCCCCCCCCCCCCCTCCCCTGAAAATCCCCCCCCCGCTGGATCCCCCCCCCCTCCCCCGGCAAAGCCCCCCCCCCCCCTAAAACCCCCCCCTCCTCCTCGAAAACCGGGGGGGGGGGATCACCACCGTTCGAACCCCTCCCCCCTCGAAAACCAGAGGGGGGGTCACTACCGGTTCGAACCCCTCCCCCCCCCTTCCTCACCGCCAGCAAACGATTCCTGGTCCCTACCACCGTCCGCACCACATCCCCCACTGTTGTTCCCCGCACCACTGTCCTCACCACCACTTTCCCCACTGGTTCCAGCACCGTCCCTACTGTCCCCACCAGTGCCCCCACCACTGTCGCACTGTCCCCACTGTCCCCACCACTGTTCCCACCACGGTTCCGCTCTCCCCACTTTCTCCACGGCCCCAACCACTGCCCGACTATTCCCACTGTCCCTACTGTCCCACTGACTCCTCCGCTGTCCCGCTGAGCTGTCCCACTGTTCCCACCACTGTCCTCACTGTCCCCGCCACTGTCAACACTGTACCTCTGTCCCATTGTCCCACCGCCGTCCTCGCCACCGCCTTCACCACTGTCCCCACCACCACTGTACCCTCCACTGTCCCACTGTTTCCACCACATTCCCACTGTCCCCACACCACTGTCCCCACCACCACCGTCCTCACCACTGTCCCACTGTCCCCACTGTTCCCATCATTGTCCTCACCACTGTCCCCACCACTACCGTCCCCACCACTGTCCCGCTGTCCCCACCACTGTCCCGCTGTCCCCTCACCACTGTCCCCACCACCACCGTCCCCACCACTGTCCGCACCCCACCCCGGTTTTCGAGGGGGGGGGGTCGAACCGGTAGTGACCCCCCCTCGGTTTTCGAGGGGGGGGGGTCGAACCGGTAGTGACCCCCCCTTTTCATGATGGACTTGGGGGGGGGGAGGGGTTCGAACCGGTAATGACCCCCCCTCCGTTTTTCCGAGGGGGGGGGAGGGGGAGGCGTTCGAACCGGTAGTGACCCCCCCGTTTTTCCGCCAGCACCGGTAGAACACGCTCTTTCGGATATGTTCATCCACGCTCTTCTGAACTGCCTTCCCCGTGCGTGTGGTATGCCACTCTTCCTCCTCATCATACCATGCAACCTTTTTTTTCCTTCCCTGAACCGTCCTTCAACACAATCATACCCTTATTCTATATAATGCTTTCCTCCTGTTTGGAATATTCCTGGTGCTTTTGCAGATAATACTTTGTGTAGCCCATCCGTTGTTCACGTATCTGCTCGTCTTTCGTGAGGTTGTTACGAAAGAACACGTCCCCGAACGCAGCGTCGTCGTCGTTCAGCTTATCACGGACTTTCTTCCAGAACTTGATCTTCAACTGCATGATTGGGAACTCTATGACACCGAACTTTGTCGAGCCGGTGGTCGTCAGAACCGATGCTTCCGTCGTGGTGCCCATGAGTGTCTTGAGTATGATGTCTGATTATTGTGTCACCTGCTCTGCGGACGTGTTCCCATTAAAGCCAAATGCAACCACCTGTTTGGCCCGTATCTCCTTCTCCGTACCTGCCATTCCTCCCCCTTCCCTTCCGTTACGTTTCCATGTGCTACTCTCCGGAGGGCCATTGCTGTTATTCATGGTGTTCTTCACGTCCTGAACCTTAGCTTCGATGATCCGCTCGATCTCATCCTTGGTCAAGTATACGTCGTCGAGGTCGTTTCGGATCCCTTCCACCTCCATCTCGATCTCCTCCATTTTCTCCTGAACCTCCTCCGCTGCCCTCTTGGCGTCCTGTGCCTCGATCCGTGCTTGATCGATGATGCCTTTGACACTGCTCATCCTGGCCTTTAATGTTTTGACGTGCTTCGTATTGCTTGAACCAGGGCGGTGCCTCCTCCATTTCGTCACTGGTTCTTCCCCTGCTCCCTGGTATCATTTCCGCCTCGGACCTCTCCCCATCTTCAATCTCCACGTCGAGGATTTTCTTCATGTTGTTTGATTTTGCCTTTTGCCTCTCGGGGGTCAAACCTGCTTTTGTGCCTGAACGCTTACCTTTAGCACTGTCCATTCCTGTCCAGCCCGGCGCCACGAGCGTGGAAAGAAACGTGTTAATGAAAGAAGCGAAGTAGGGTATACAAGGAATGCTCTTGAGACAGAGAATTCTCTGAAGGTAGCCGTAAGAGCGACCCCGAAAAAGAAAGGTTTTTTGATTCCGATTCAAAGCCGGATGAGATTACAGTGCAAGATCGTGCTGCCACGGATGTGCTGTCTCCGCCCCACTTGGATGGTTTCGGGGATGCCGAGGCGGAACAGGCGGTGGCTGATCTTTTCCTCGGCTCCACAGAGGAGCAGGCCGCGAGCCGCTGTTTCCCCCCTCTCCTCCCTCTTCCCCGCCTCCGCCTCTCCCTGCTCCCCTCCCCTTTTCCGCCGATCAGCTGGCCAGGACCGCGGCCAACCGTGCCCCTGCCAAGACAATTCGGGAGACTCAGCGTGCTGCCGAGCATGCCCGAAGAGCCCCCTGGACGTCAGGAGGCACAGGCATCCTGCGCGGGTCTTTTTTCCCGCAGGAAGGGGTGCCTGCCTTTTCATCATGAGGTCTGGACGGTGGCGTCAGCGGTATACGCGCCGCCCGTCCCAGGCCCGTGTGGTCGGAGCACGGTGAACCCCAAGCCCCGCGTTGAACAACAACCCCCCCAGGCTCGCCGCCAAATCAGGCAACGCAGTCATGCTGCCAGGGCGTGGCGGTGCTCGGCGCTCACCTCTCTCCAGGGCGTCTCTCTGCCCAGGAACCTCAGGAGGAGGAGGAGGAAGAGTACGAGGACCCCCCCTTGTCTTCGATACTCGATCCTGGTCACCATCCGTGCTGCCCCCCCCGCCCGGACTTTCTTCCGCGGGCACGTCCAGGGGGATCGACCAGCCGTACTTGACCCACTTCAAGGGGTCTCCTCGAGACCGTTTCCGATCGCGCCAGCGTAGCCATGGGAGAATAGGGCTCAGCGCTGTTCAGGAGTCTACGAGCAGGAACTGTGGCTTAGCGTGTCGCGCCGCCCGTTCTGGCCCACCACGCTTCGGCGCAACACATGATCCACTTCCCCATTCCCAGGCATCAGCGTCCCGCACTTTTCCGAGCCTCCTGCCCCATGGAGCGGAGCAACACGCTATTCGCTCGCAAGGCATAGCGTGACGCCGGGGCCGCCGCCGCGACACGCTAAGCAAAAGTGCCTGACCGTGGACTGGAAGTTACGGCATGACCCAAAACTGCACTGAAGTCCCGGCGCCCTGGTGCCGCAGTCGAAGTCTATTCCCTCTGTCGGCTACGTGCGCGCAAGAACGACTCCAGGCAAGAGTAACCTTAAATGCGCGGCTAAGGGGGCCGCAGGAAGACCAAATCAAAGCGCGCAAGCCTGTGCTGGGGGGACATCTGTGCGCCCGCACCACAGGTCACTCTGGCGAAATATCACTCTTACGCATAGTTGACCTTCGCCTGACGACGCCAGGGGGTTAATAATCTGCTGCCGCCGCCGGTAACGGACCCGGCACGTTTGAACCTGACCATATTCAAGTCCTTCACATGACGCCGACATGCCCTGCACCCGCCAGGTTTGCGCGAAAAGCAGTTGTGGACCAATCGCTTGACAGACACAGACCGCGTCAGCGGCAGAAATCTATCCGAACTGGGACCGTAGCGGAACCACCAATCCGAGCAGAGACTATTGCCCTCGCTGCGTCCTGCTGGCACAAACGAGCTGTGATGTGGCTGGCGCTGAGGCCAGAGGCCCTTCCCGAGCTGAAGACGTGGCCAACGCTGAGTCCGAAACACCATGCCGAGCTGTACGCGCGGACAAAAAGCGCTGATGTTAAGTACCATTCCAAGCACGTGACTGGCCCTGAAGTTCGAGCGCCGTTACGAGACGGGGATGCGGACAGCGCTGAGGTTGCAGCAGCACTTCAAGTTGGGAATGTGGCCGCCGCTGCGCCCAGATCGAGCTGGGAGCATGACTGGCGCTGAATCCTAGCCTTGAACGCGGCTGGCGCTTAGGCCAAAACACCCTTCTAATATTTACGGAAGCAAGAAAGCTGCACGTCACGACTGCTGCTGGGACCAGGGTGTGACAGGAGCACCACCTGCAGCGTGGCCAGCGTCAGGTTAGCCTTCCAGTGGTCAGAAGGGGGGCGATTGTACCAAGCCTGATCCTGACAGCAAAGCCACTCCTCCCCCTCCTCCTCCTCCTCCTCATCATCATTATCATCATCACCATCATCATCATTGCCATAACCCGGCGACCCCTTGTGGGTCTCTAGGCGTGTGAGATTGTCCCCCCCCCATAATCCCCCCCCAGGGACCCCAAAACGGCAATTTGACCCCCCCCCCCCTGGCCCAGCGCGACCCCGGACTGAACGCGCCACGGGGGAGCGGAGGGCTTCAAAACTGGCCGAGAAGGCACCAAAACGCTCCCCAGACGGTCCCAGGGGGCAACGATTCGCCGAAATATCGCCCTGGACGACCACGATGGCCTCCAGGCGGCCTCCGAAGCTGACAACACGCCCCAAAAGGCCCCAAAGATGCGCCCCAAGAGGGCCCCAAGAAACAAAAATCGCCCCATTCCCAATCGAAAAATCAACATTTTTCGCATGCTCGCCAATTCGGTTTTCACAACGTCCCAAACGGGCAAAGAAACATTCAATATCGCCCCCAGACGGCCAAAGGGGCCCCCAAAAAGAAAAGAGGGTCCAACAACAGCCCACGAAGCGCCCAAGACAGCCCAAGAGGGCCCCCAGACGGCTCCAAGACGGAGTCCAGAGGGCACATGTTCGAGCATTCGGCCCCAAGACGCCCCCAGCCTGCCCCAAGAACAGCCCAAGAGGCCCTGAGGGACCCCCACGAGAACCTCAAAGGCCTCTAGGAAGCCCCCAGGAAGCCCCCAATAGGCCCCAAAACTTGGCCCTAGATGCCTCGAGGCGGCCGAATATGGCCTGCAGACAAGCCAAGATGCCACCAAAAGGCCACAAAAGAGCACCAAGAGGTACGATAACAGCAACGAAGCAACAGGAAAGATGTCGAGCGCCGTGTCATGATTCGGACAAGCCTCGTGAAATGCAGTCCTGGAGACGCAATAGTTTATATAGGGGGCGGCGGATGTGGCGTAAGCCTATAGAATCATCCTCTCCCTTATCAGCATCCGGATCCTACGCATGCTCATTCTCTGGCCCCATGATCTACAGAAATGATACCAGAGAAAAACCCAATCAGAATTTGGGGGGCTATGGGGCTTTAGGGCTTTAGGGCTATGGGGCTATAGGGCTATAGGGCGATGTGGCCATAGGGATATAGGGCTAGAAGCCTTTAGGGCTATGGGGCTATAGGGCTACAGGGCTATAGGGCTATAGGGCTAAAGGCTATAAGGCTATTCGGGCTATTCGGGCTATATACGGCTATATACGGCTATAGGGCTTTAGGACCATAGGGCTATAGGGCTATAGGGCTATAGGCCTATGGGGCTATGGGGCTATTGGGCTATTGGGCTATTGGGCTATAAGGCTATCGGAGGTGAGGGGGTGAGATCGAAGTGGAACGGCGAGCCCCCCACCGGGAAATCGGTTTCGGTTTCGTGTTCGTGCGTGCCGTGCGTGCGAGGCGAAGCTGCGTGGGCGGACGAGAAAATGTCTCCTGTGGCTGAGGCGCGGCCGGACCAAATGTTTCTCTTCCGGGGCGCGGGGCCCCGCGGTGTCCCGCCGGTGTCCCGCAGTGTCCTCCTGTGGCTGAGGCGCGGCCGGACCAAATGTTTCTCATCCGGGGCGCGGGGCCCCGCGGTGTCCCGCCGGTGTCCCGCGGTGTCCCGCGGTGTCCTGCGGTGTCCCGCGGTGTCCCGCCCGTGTCCTGCGGTGTCCCGCGAGGATGATGATGCTGATGATGATGATGATGATGATGATGATGATGATGATAATGATGATGATGATGATGATGATGATGATGATGATGATGATGATGAGATGATGATGGTGATGATGATGATGATGATGTTGATGATGATGATGATGATGAGATGATGATGATGATGATGGTGTCCCGATAAAGATGATGATGTTGATGATGGTGTCGATGATGATGATAGTGTCCCGATGATGAGGATGATGATGCTCATGATGATTATGTTGATGCGGATGACGATGATGGTGTCCCGATGATGATGATGGTGATGATGATGATGATTCCGATGATGTTGGTGATGATGATGATGGAAATGGTGTCCCGGCGATAATGATATTGACGATGATGTTGATGATGATTATGGTGTCCCGATGATGATGCTGATGATGATGATGGTGATGATGATGATGGTGATGCTGATGGTGTCCCAATGATGATAATAATGATAATGACGATGTTGATGATGTTGCTCATGATGATGGTGACCCAATGATGATGATGTTGTTTATGATGATGATGTCGATGATGATGATGATGCGATGATCATGATGATGATGGTGCCCCGAGGATGATGGCGATGTTGATGATAATGTTAATGATGAGAACGATGGTGATCATGATGGTGTCCCGATTATGATGATGATTTTGATGATGCTGCTGATGATGATGACGATGACTGTGTCCCGATGATGATGATGTTGATGATGATATGATGCCGGTGGTGATGATGATGTTGTCCTGATGATGATGCTGACGTTGATGATGATGTTTATGATGATAATGACGGTGCCCTCATGATGATGACGATGTTGGTGGTGATGTTGATGTTGATGATGTTGATGATGATGATGACGATGATGATGATGACGATGATTGTGAGAGCGATTGTGATATCGATAGTAAGATCGATATTGAGACCGAATGTGAGATCGATTGTGTGATCGATTGTGAGATCGATTGTGAGATCAATTGTGAGATCGATCGAATGAGATAGATCGAGTGAGATCGATTGTGAGATCGATCGAGTGAGATCGATCGAGCGAGCCCGATAGTGAGACCGATACTGAGATCGATAGTGAGACCGATCGAGTGAGACGTTGGTTCCCCCCCCCCGAACCTCCTTATCACCCGAAGGGTGGTCGTATAGGTACGGCTATAGGGCTATAGGGCTATAGTGCTATCGGGATATATGGCGATTGGGCTATTGGGCTATAGGGATATGAGGGCTATTGGGCTAGGCACCCCCGGGCACTTCTGGGCACCCCGGGCACCCGGGCACCCCTGGGCACCCGGGCACCCCCGGGCACCCCCAGGCACCCCCGGGCACCCCCGGGCACCCGGGCACCCGGCCCCGGCCACCGAAATCGGCCACACACCTGGGCACCCGGGCACCCCCGGGAACCCCCGGGCACCCCCGGGCACCCGGCCCCGGCCACCGAAATCGGCCGCTCACCTCACCTCAGCTTTATATCCGCTAGGACCCCTACAGAGGCAAGCTCTGATTGGGGAACATCCACACGAGGGGGACACAATGATGGTCCCCCATAAGAAGCCTTAGCTTAGAACGGCAGCGATCCAAGCCTTGAATACGAGCACTGGTGCGTATGATATTGGCGCTTGCAGTGGAGAAGTCATACATTTGCGACTTAAAGAAACCAAAGAAAACATGGTCGTAAAGCTTGGTCCTGCCGAAACCAGCGCTCATGCAAGACGCCCCCCACATTGACCTTACGGAATACTGGCAGACTACATGGCAGGGCTTGTCTCCACCACGGACCCGAAGGTCCACGGAGCCACGAGTAACATAGATATGTACTCGAGAATTACGGCCCACGGAACAATAGGCCGTAAAACCGAGGGCGAGGGCAGCAGAACCACGGAATGGAGAACCAAGGGGCATTGAACCACTGGCCACTGAACCACGGGCCAGTGACCACCAGATTAGGAAAGTGAGAACGCCCTTACAAGATCGCAGATGTCTCATCAGAACGCAATGCTGTTTTAGTAGATAGCCGAATCGCAACTGTGAACAAGCCATCGGTACAGCCCTACGGGTACAGACCAAGCTTAAAGCTTTCCCGCACCTGAAATTCTGGGCTTGCCCGAGCCAATGACGTACGCATCACGAGATGCTGAGGATAGAAAATGAACATCCTCTTCTGGGCACGCCTACCTCGGGGAAGCATGGCTCGCGTCGCCCAACCACCCCAGATGCAAGATGGAGACGGGACATGGCCACTGCGAAAGAATGCCCTGGTGTCCTTCGTAGGCGTAGAAACATGTGCCAGTACAGTTGAGCTCGAGCGAGAGGTCAAACGCCGAATACATACAGCGGAAACTGTTGAGGTCGGCTGTGTACCGGTCGTTCCCTGGAATACCTAGCACGAGCACGGGGAAGGCGAAGGAGCACGAGAGAAGGACAAGGAAGACGAGACAGCACAGAAGAACAGAAAGGACAAGACGAGTACCCCGAGAAGGCGTCAAAGGACAAGGAGGACGACACAGCACAGCGTCGATGAGAGAAGTAATGGCAAAAAGACGGATACTACCCCTTGCAAGTGTAACTGACCATGGAAGGCGGAGGGAAGGGGGAAAGGGAACTGGAGGCTGATAGGGAGCAGGAGGTGGGTAGGCAGAGAGGGAAGGGAAGGGCTGGGTGGTTCCAATCTTTGCTGCCGTTCAAACTGCTGCATGGCATGTGTTGAGTGCGTCTCCTACTCCCCCTCCCCGTCATCATCATCATCATCATCATCATCATCATCATCATCATCATCATCATCATCATCATCATCATCATCATCATCATCATCACCGTCGTCACCATCGTCACCTTCGTCATCGTCTTCATCATGCCCTCAACAGCATTATCATCATCACCCTAATCCTCAGCATCATCGTGATCATCATAAGCATCTTAGTCATCATCATCAACAGCATCATCATCACCATCACCATTACAATCACCTTCACCTGCACGACTAGCATTAGCAGCATCAGAGCCTTCCTCATCATTATCACCACCAACATCATCATCAGCATCATCACCATCAGCATAATCATCATTATCATCATCATGATCATCATCGTCATTAGCAGCATCAGTACCCAATCAACATTACCACCACCACCATCATCATCAGCAACATCATCATCACAATACTAATAATAAGCATCATCATCCTCATTATCAACATCAGCATCAACATTATCATCATCAGCATCTTCGTTATCGTCACCATCAGGTCCCCATCATCATCATCATCACCCTAATCATCAGCAGCATCGTGATCACCATCAGCATCGCAGTCATCATCTTTATCATCAGCAGCAGCATCATCATCACCATCAACCCACTATCACCATCACCATTATCATTCGCAGCATCAGTATCCTCCTCCATCTCATCATCACCACCAACAGCATCATCATCATCACCGCCATCATCATCAGCATCAGCATGATCATCATCATCATCATCATCATCATCATCACCATCATCATCAGCAGCATCGTCATCAGCATCATCATGAGATTCATCTTCATCAACATCATCATCATCATCATCAGCAGCAGCAGCAGCATCATCCTTATCATAATCATCACCATCATCATCATCAGCCCCATAATCATCAGCATTATCGTGATCTTCATCAGCATCGTCGTCATCATCATCGCCAACACCATCACCATCATCAGCATCAGTACCCTAATCACCACCACCAACAACATCGTCATCATGATCAGCACCATCACCATCATCAGCATCATCTTTCTTTGGACTCGGCTTGACCGCAAAGGCCGCCTCCCCGCACATCTCTTCAGTCCCTGCCGATGGAACCTCACTCAATGCAGATACCTGTAGCACACATTACGTCTGAAAATTGGGATTCCGAGCTGAGAGAGATCGCCTGTCCCCTGCAGAGCGGCGAACACAGCAAGTGCTAGCCGAAGCCCCGACACTTCGGCGGAAAATGAATCTGTTGCCTGGGGTTCCCAGGTCCCCCCGAAAGCCGCGACCTCCCAGTCGCCGCTCCCCTGGGAGACCCGGAGAGTGAAACCGCCCGCGCTCCGCCCGCACCCGCGCCACCCCCCGTCCGAGTGGGCCAAACAATTGTGAGGCGCAGCTAACAACTCATCAATGCGAGGGTGGAGGCATAAGAAACCTCGGCCTGCATCTAAAACTGCATTACACAAACGATCAGCCTCTTGATTCTGGTGGCGGGGCCGCCACAAAACGATCACCATCATCAGCAGCATCATCATTATCATGATCACCTTCGTCAGTATCATCGTCAGCCTCATCATCACCCTTGTCATCGCCATAATCAGCAGCATCATCATGATCATCATCAGCATTGTCGTCATCATCATCATCAGCAGCATCATCAGGATTATTATTATCATCGTATTCGTCACCGTCATCCTCATTATCGTCGTCATCATCAGCCTTATCAAAGCGTCATCGTGATCATCATCAGCATCGTCGGCGTCATCATCATTATCATCACCATCATCATTAGCAGCATCGGTACACTAATCATCATCACCATCACCACCACCATCATCATGTGCAGCATCATATGCATCGTAATCATCATTATAATCATCAGATTCGTCATCGTCATCGTCATCCTCATCATCATCATCATCAACATCATGATCATCGTCATCATCACCATCATCATCATCTTCGTCATCGTCGTCATTATCATCAGCTTCATCGTCATCCTCATCATCATAATCAGCAGCATCATCGTGATCATCATCAGCATCGTTGTCATCATCAGCATCGCCATCACCATCATCGTTAGCAACACCATCATCATCATCATCATCATCATCATCATCATCATCATCAGCATCATTGCCACCATCACCGTCTCATCATCAAAATCGTCGTAATCGTCATCATCGTCATCATTAACATGATCATCATCATTATCATTATCATGATCCTCATCATCATAATTCCCCTCATTCTCCTGCTTCCCATCATCCCCTTCCTATTCGTCATTCCCTTCCTTCCCAGCCTCCCATCCCGTCTTGTCACTTCGTAGTACACCTTAGGCGGCACACCGCCGCGAGACAAGACAACAATTCACCGGACAAGAACGGGAAGCGCCGTTTTTCCCCCCTCGGCTTGTAAGGCGAAGAAGAAAAGAAGCGAGAGGAGGGTTCTGGCGCCGGGCCAGACAATTGCGAACAGCCCTACGCATGAAAGGATTCGTGGGCTTGGCGAGCCCCGTGAACTTGCCTCGACAGGGGCCAGTGGGCGACTATACGGTTTTGATTGCTGCATTTCGGGTGCTCGAGTTGCAAAAAGCGGCGCGTATTGTACTGCCCCGCTTCATTACGCCGCCAGCCCACGACACCAAAGCTAGGACAGGCTTTGCCGAACCCCAAGGGCTTGTGGTCGCATACTGGCAAAACCGCTTGAAAAACAAAAGCGACGACAAGGAGGCAGGTGAGGAGGAAGTCAATGTAGAAGACGAGGGGAAGACGAGGATGACCCGCAGGACGACGAGGAGGAAGACAAGCAAAAGGACGAGGAGGATAACGACGAGAAGAACAAGCACGAAATAGATTTTTCCCACGCGAAACACCCACCAACGTCAACAGCTCGATGTGTCCAGTCAGGCTACAGGCTGCCAAATGCACGCACCCACGTGCTGCCCGCCAGGCCCGGACCGAAAACCTGGACTGGGGCAGCGGGGCAGATGCATACGTCATGGTTTGGTGCACAGAAATCCCGCAAGTCTGGGACAAGCGATAAAAAGGGGAGAAGGAGGAGGAGGAAAAGGGGAAGAGGAACGTTGGCTTTGTGCGTGCATCCCACATGGTCGAGACGACCATTTATATAATAAGGCCCGACGCAACGACTGTCAAAGAGAAGTGTCGCAGCACCTGTCTTCTCAAAACCACTGCCAACCGAACATGGGAGAGCCGCGCCTGGGATCCAATCGCGCCGACGGGGACAGGGGGAAGAGACAGAACGGAAAGTGAAACGTCGTTGAGCGCATGCACTCGCAAACTTAAGATATAAACTATGCGGTTGGGCACTGCGGTGCCAGGCCAGGCGCGGAGCCGTTCCGCGGCGGCTGGACTGCGAGCCCGGGCCGATCAGACAGAAAGCGCGCCAGTGGATGGCCCTGAATACACTAAAGGGGGGGGGGCTCGCAGAACCACCCCGCTCCCCCCCTGCAAGGGCCCCCCCCCCTCCCCCCCTTGGCGCTGGAAAGGGGGGGGGGGGGTGAACCCATCCCCCCCCCTTCCCCCCCTTTTCGCCGAACAAGGGGCTGGGGAGGGGGCCTCTCGGGTAGAGAGTAGAGGCTAAAGCGTTTTGAGTAGCGAGTGGTGAGTAGTGGGTATTTGATAGCGAGAAGTGCGCAGTGAGTCGTGAGTGGTGAGTAGTGAGTAGTGGGTAGTGGGTAGTGGTAGAAGTGAGTAGCGCGTAGGTACTAGTGATAGTGAGTAGTGAGTAGTGGAAAGTGAGTAGTGGGAAGGAAGCAGTGAGTAAGGACTTGTGAGTAGTGAGTAGTGAGGAGTGAGTAGTGTGTAGTGAGTAGTGCATAGTGAGTAGTAAGCAGGGGGTGGGGATGAGGGAGTAGACAGTAGCGAATAGCGAGGGGTGAGTAGTGAGTAGTGCGCAGTGGGTAGAAGTAGTGAGTAGTGAAGGGTGAGTGGTGAATAGCGAGAAGCGAGTACACAGTAGCGAGTAGGGAGTAGCGAGTAGTGAGTAGTGAGTAGCGACTAGGGCGATGTGAGTAGTGAGTAGTGAGAAAGGAGTAGTCAGGACTCAGTAGTGAGTAGTGAGTAGGGAGTAGTGCGTAGCGAATAGGGCGTACCGAGTAGTGAGTAGTGAGTAGTGAGTTGTGAGTAGTGAGTAGTGAGTAGCGAGTAGTGAGTAGTGAGAAGCGAGAAGTGGGTATTGACAATTCGGTAGCGAGTAGGGAATAGCGAGTAGAAAATAGTTAGTAGTGCGTCGTGAGTAGTGATTAGTGAGTAGTGAGTAGCGACCTGCGACGAATGACTAGTGAGTAGGGAGTAGTGAGTAGTACGGAGCGAGTAGTGCGTAGTGGGTAGTGAATATGTCCTATTGGCTAGCGAGTAGTGGATAGTGAGTAGTGAGTTCTGGGCAGTGCGTAGTGAGTAGTGAACTGTGAGTTCTCAGTAGTAAGTAGTAGATAGTGTTTCGTGAGTAGTGAGTAGTCCTCAGTGAGTAGTGAGTAGTGGGCAATGGGGAGTGTTTAGTGAGAAGTGAGTATTGAGTACTGCGTAGTGAGTAGTGAGTTGGGAGTAGTGAGTAGGGAGTAGGAAGTCGTGAGTAGTGGGAGCGTCGTGAGTAGTGAGTAGTGGGTAGTGAATATTGCGTATTGAGTAGCGGATAAGGCGCAGGGAGTAGCGAGTAGTGAGTGGTGAGTACTGTGTAGGGAATAGGGGGTAGCGAGTAGTGGATAGTGAGTAGTGAACTGTGGGTAGTGAGTAATCAGTCGTGAAGTGTGAGTAGTGAGTAGTGGATAATGGCTAGTGGGTAGTGAATAGTGATTTGTGATTAGCGAGTAGTGGGTAGTGAATTGTGCTTAGTGAGTAGTGAGTATTGAGTAGTGGACAATGAGTAGTGAGTAGTTTGTAGTGAGTAGTGAGTAGTCAGTAGTGCGTCGTGGGTAGTGAGTAGTGAGTCGTGAGGAGTGAGTAATGAGAAATGAGTAGTGACTAGCGAGTAGTGACTTGTGGGTATTGAGTAGTGCGTAATGAGTAGTGAGTACTGTTTGGGGCTACGGTCTGGGATTGGGGTCAGGGTTTGGGGTTAGGACAAGGGTGATGATTAGTGTTCGGGGTGGTAGGGGTCGGGTTCCGGAGACCGGGGGCGCCGTGGCGAAAAGGGGGCAGGGGGGGGGGGGCGAATTTGGCGGCCAAATGGGGGGAGGGGTGGGGGTCGGAACCCCCTCCCCGCCTCGTTTTTTAAAGAAGGAAAAGGGGGGGGGTCCCTGACGACGGACCAGGGGAAGGGGGGGAGGGGGGAGGGGTCCCCGACGACGGATCGGGAAAGGGGGAGAGGGGGGGTTCCCCGACGACGGATCGGGGAAGGGGGGGGGGGTCCCACCCCCCCCCCTTGGGATCATCCAGCGGCGAGCCCTCGATCAGACAGACCAGAATCGGCCAGCAGCAGCTGCAGTACAGCTTGCACGCCTTGCCTGTGCAGAAACTGGCACGAAAACCACGAATTGGGGGGCAGAAGGGGGGCGGGCAGGAGGAGGAGGCGAGGAAAAGGGAAGGGACGGAGGATAATCGCCCTCGCCGAGCGTCGCATGAAGAAAACGTGCCCTCCAGCCGACCTGGACAAAGTGGCACTCGGAGGAAAAGAAGTAGGGCGGCAGGGCCAGACTGCCCAGCTTCACGACGCGCACTGGGGGAACAGGAGGGAGAGGGGCGGAGGGAGGAGAGAGGGGAGGGCGTGGGGGAGGAGAAGTGTTCCGCATAAAACTGTGCATTGCGAGCGTGGTCGCATCAGCCCTGGAAAAATCGACGGGTTGGCATCCCTCAAATAAAACGACGCGACGGCGTCCACCCTCGGGGGGCGAGGGAACTCGCGGACAATTTTACGGCTCTGGCCGAGTCAAGGGCAAGCGCCTTCCCACGAACCATCGGCCACGCGGCCGGAAAAGGCACAGGCCTGCCGGCCTGTCTGGCCAAGTGGCACCCCGCATCCCGGGAGGAGGGAGGAAAGCAAAAAAGGGAGGAAGGTAATTGTGAACTCCTGTCGAGCGTCGTCGGCCTTTACGGCCACCAGTGCCCTGCCGGCCAGGCTGCCCCGCGTGGGCACGGAGGCCTCTGCTTTGGACGCCACCCCCCGCGGGGGGGCCACAAACCCGAGAAAGGCAAGGGACCGCCCACCGACGACAGCGACGACGACCACGCCGACGACGACGACGACGGCGACGGCGTTGACGACGACGCCGACGACAACGACGAGACGACGACGACGACGACGACGACGACGACGACGACGACGACGACGACGACGACGCGCTCCTGACGAGCGTCCTGGGCTTCGGCCTCGATAGTCCAGCCAGCCAGGCCCCACAAAGCGGCACCGCAATTCGGAGGAGGAAGGGGGCGGACCAGGGGGAAGAAAAAAGGAAAGGGGGAGCACAAAGGAAGGCCTCAAGGACTCAACGTCGCCACCGCGCCTGCGCCTCGTCGTACACATTGCACGCGCGCCGGTGGCCCCTGACGACCTCGCGACAGGCCTGCTGCAGCGCCTCCTTCGCGGCGTGCCTCCTCCTCAATGCACCGTGCCGGCAGTAGCAAGGCACGCGGTACATGGCCGCCGGCCTGATGCCGCGCAACACGACCGCCGAGTCATCTGATCTCGGCCCTGGATGAAAACCCAAGAGACTTGCCAGCCAGCCTGCCGGGCGGTCGGGCCGTTGCAGGCCGGACTCCCTCGCGATGATCGAGGGGCCGACCTGGCAGTTGGCGTAATGTTCGATGCTGTTCTCTGCGCTGACGAACAGATCAACGAATAGGGGTAGGAGGACGGCAGCGTGGAAGACGAGAAGGACGGCGTGGATGAGGAGGGGGAGCTTGTGGAGGACGAGGAGAACGATGCTCTCGAGAAAAAACAGGACGAGTAGGACAAGGCGGGATAGGGCAAGGACGATGGCGAGGACGACCAGGAGAAGAACATCGTGAATGACAGCGTGGATGACAATGAGGATGACAGAAAAAGGACGAGAAGGAAAAGACGACGAAGAGCAGAGGGACGAGGAGCACGAGGAGAAGGACGTGGAAAAAGTGAGGCCCTTGGTACTGCCAGCAACATCTGAGGCCGTCTTCGAGCCTCAGCGGGGCCTCTCAGAAGCCTCTTTCCAAAGCCGATGTTTCGAGCATGTATCAGGCAGAACGCCTGTATTCGAAAAAACTGTCTTGACATGGACGGGAAGCGCGTGCTCTTGAAGAGCGTGTGCAAGAGCGTGCAGCAATTTCTAAATAATCTATTATCCAGGCTAACTTCCCGAACGGTCACGGGGGAACAACAATGAGAACGACTATGCCCACACGGATGGTGCCCTGAAAGACTGCAAAGCCACCTCTTGAACCATCTCCTGGTGCCCCAAGAGAGGAGTTCCAGCTACAGCCGACAATGGCGAGCGAGGAGGACTGGAGGAGACGTGAGGAGGCGACGCGAAGAGGAGACCATAAGAAAAAGAGGCAGGGGCGCTGGAGGAGGGGCCAATGTGTTCAGACCGCCTCGGGACTACTCGGGGAGGCCTGTCGAGGCCAGCTGGGACTACTCGGGAGGCTGTCTGCACACAACCCGAAGCCTTCCTATGGGCGAGTGGGCATGGGCAACAAAAAACGCACTCCAGCTCCCCTCTTCAGCCCAAAGGCGGAGCTGAAGATACACGCACGCACTGCCCTGCGCCTCGTGCGAGTGCAACGAACACGGCCGTCCACGAGGTCCGTTAAGGAGCAGCATCAGGGGGAGGAGTAGGAAGGAAGAAAACTGCATGAGCATAGGCTTTCGGAGGTGCGCGCAAATTTCCTGGGTCGGCGCTGGACCCCGTGGGCGGCGCCTCCAGCACCACACTGGCGCCATTCAAGCGCCTGGGGAAGGTGGCCCAGCGCCGACCCAAGAAATTCGCGCGGACCTCCGAATGATTATGTTCATGTGCGTTTGCTCTTCTTCTAGGGGAGAGGTAGCACGCCTGCAACGAACGATGACCCCTCGTCCAGCTGGCACGGCGCATCCACCCCGATATTCGCCTTAGCCGCGGGACCCGGCCAGCCTAGCCTCCATCCCTCGCTCTCCCCCTCCCTCGTTATCCCTCCCTCGCTCGTCCCTCCTCCCTCCCTCCCACCGTTCCTCTTTCCCTCTCCATCTCCCACCCCCGAAACTCTTCCAATCGAGCTCAGGTCAAGATGGCGGAACTCTCTTGTGTCCCTCCCTCCCTTCCTGCCATCCCCCCTCCCTTCTTCACAGCATCCCCTGACCCTTTCCGCACCCCCCCATCCCTCACTACCCCTCACTCTGCCTCAGTCTCCCTCGCTATTTGTCCTTCCCCTCCCTCCCTGTCCTCCTTCCCTGTCCTCCACGCTGCCCCCCCCTCCTTTTCCCCCTTTTCCTTCCTTCCCTCCCTGCTTCCCCCACCCCCTTTTGCCGTTCCCTCACCCCCGCCCTTCGTTCCCCCTCATCCCTCCTCCCCGGCCCCCCACCCCTCCCTTCCATTGTCTGCTTCCCGTCTACGAGGAAACCAAAAGATCCGCCGACCCTGTTGGTGCGTGTGTGAAAGATTTTTCCCTTTCGACGCCTCAAAGGCTACTCCGATGGCATACCACCTTCGTCAGCAAATCCAGCAAACTGAAAATCGAGCAACGTCGCAATCGAATCGCAGGGGAGCCCCTCAAGGGGGGGAGGAGGGGTGGGAGTGTTGTTGACAGGAGGTCCGTCTCTTCTGTGTTGGACTCTGCTTTGACCTCTGCGTCAACATCTGCGACGTCGAACCAATGAATGCAACGAGGACGATGTGGTGGATTTGTTCGCAGGTCGATACCGCACTGATGGTCTAATAAGCGGCGTTTCTTGGCACATTGTGCCTCTGATTCCGCCTTGCACGGTCCACGATATCCCGCTTTACGAATCGCAACGACGTGTTTTACATTGACAGAAAAGATGCCTGTGAGGCCAGTGGCGCGAGCGGAACCCGCGTGCCAGCTGCTAGCTCTTTTAGCGTGCCCGCCAGACGTGGTGTTGAGACATCACAAGAACGGATGCCTTGCAATGAATACTCTAAACATATTACTAGACCTTGGCCTCGGTAGGCCGGGAGCCCCCTCCAGGGAGCTGGTCCCGAGTAAAAAATTGTCGGGCTGAATCGTTGAAATCTTCGCTCTGGACACGTCCCTGCAGGAGCGAGCGAAGATCTTGCCATAATGAACCTCTCAGCAGAAAGTACTGCTTTTTACAAAATGCGTGCGGTTCAGCATCATTCGGATATGATACAAGTGCCAAGGTGTTACTCCGTGGCTCCGCGGTCTGCAAAAAAGGGTTCAAAGCATGCTTCTGGGGATCCTTAACAGCACCCGCACCCGCGTCGTTACACGACCACGCCTTGACGCCACGGAAAGAAAAGGGCGCCGCCCACTGATTCGGAAGCTCATCCGGCGCGCCCGCCAGAACATCGCTGGACCGATGCCCAGCGCGCCAGCCAGGAATTCACAGGGACCCGCCTCGCCTGCCAGGAACTCCGCGGCACCGGGCGCGCCCGCCAGCTCGCTGGCACCGGCGCGCACGCCAGATCCAGCCTTTTCCAGAACAGCCAGCAGCAGTTGGTCCGCGCGAGGTCCACGAGCGCGGGCCTGGCGCCCGCCGGGGCGTCGCCCGAGCGGAGATACCTCGGCCGTCCAAACGCTAGTTCACTAGCGCCCCACCTCGGCCATGGATCTGCACGCGTGCCAATTTTTCGCCGTCTGGCACTGACAGCGGTAGCGCATCGTTTGGTACCAGCCTGTCCGCGCTGACTGGGTCGTGGACGCTCAGATCAGAACGATTGCCAGCGGCAGCGCCTGCAACGACGCACGCGCGAGCGCCACCCTCTCGCCCGAGAACTTCCACGAACTGGCACTCGTGATCATGGCGTCTCGTCTTGTCCTTACTCCGCTGAGAAGCCGGCCACGCAATCGAGCCGCAAACCCCCGCTCGTAAGAAATCTCCTCGCCGCGTTTACGGAATCAGAGTTCTCGCTGGCGCGAGCGACCTGTCTCGCTGCTGCGAAACGAATGTGCGCACGTTATGGGCGCGCCCCACCGACTCTGTCACATATTCGGCCATGGGAATATGCCTCACAAGCGCCTCGGTGGACCAAGTCGAATCCAAGAGCACCCTCGGCCCCTCGGTTGAATGCTCGCGATGATCTCACAGGGTGTTTACAGCGCATTCAAGCACTGACCGCTCGAGGACACGTGCAGCCGCATCCCAATCTCGGCATTCCCTCATGAGTGCTTGCGATCATGTTTTGCACCCTGTGTGGTCGTTCATTGGGATTCATGGTGAGGGGATGCCCCTGGGCTCTGATCGACGCCGAATGTTTTGCCACATCCTTGGCGACTGAATGGACGAAACCACGCCCTCGCCCACTGCCGGTTACGACGGGTATCCCAGCCAACTGCATGACCGCACGCTCCGCCAATGCCAAGGCGGCCGTCTCGCCGGCGTCGCCCTGCGCGGGAACGGCCTAGTGCCAACCGCTGAAACTGCGCGCAGCCGTGAACAAGTACAGGCGGCCGGCGGGCGTGGGTGGGTTGCGCGGCCCAAAGGAATCAACGGTCAAAAACGGAATTGGCCGCCGCAGTCGCGAGACCTGCGGGGCCTGATACCAAAAGCGAGCGCTCGCTCATCCCGCGCGCCCAACAATGTCGCGCGACAGCGTTCACGTCACTGGACAGATGCTGCCGCCACAACCCACTGTCCAGTAGCATTCATAGCGCGCGGTCTCAGTCTCCGCGCGCCCCAGCGATCGCGAAGCGATGCAAAGCCAATCGGCGCACGGCCCCCTGATATCCCACGGCGCGCCAAGCTTCCATCGGAACAACAGAGCACCGCTCGCGGGCGTTCAGAATTCGAATATTCGGAGCAATCCCCTGCAGAACCCACGCTGTCCAAGAACACCGTGGGCTTGATTAGAGCTTCTCCAATCCAACCCGCCTACATTGGACAACTGGCTGCGTGCGTTCTCGTCGACGTCGCTTGTCTCGCCTGCGACATTCACGCAGTCGACGTCACCGCCAGCGCTTTTGCCGGGCCCAAGAACAACGCGGCGCCGTCGAGGCGGTAAACACCGAGGCGGGAGGTTGCACTCGCGTTTGCTGCTGTTCCGTTCCACCAACTGCGTGCTTCTCCAGCGCGCGGTCGTCGTCGCCCAGGCTGACGGTCGCGCGGAAACTGGCGTCGCCCCGCTTGGCCCCGCCAGCCGGGGGCACTCGACATCGCTTGGGCACCCAGGCCACAACCCGCTCCAGCAGAGATAGACAAGCGCAGGGCGGAACAAAGTCAAGCTCGCCTCGCGAAAGCGCCCGCGCCAGCGCACGACGAAACCCTTTTGCGGACCTCCCCCATCGAGGTGCCGCCCCCGATCGGGCGCCGCAGCGGAAGGGTTGGCCCGTCCGAGCCCTCGCCTGCAATGAGCCCAGCCTGAGACAATAGAAATAATGCCGGTGCTCTCGTGTCTGGCCAGGCCTTTCACCTGCTCAACAGCTTACCCCTGTCAGTTCCAAGCGCTTCATAGCTGCGCTGAATCCGACTGTCCGCAGAGACGACGGCACTGGGAACCCCAGCCACTCGAGCGCCTCCCGGCGGTCGCCGAATTGTCGCCACTCTCGTAAGTATACTCGACGACCGCAATGGCATTCCGAAATTATACGCGCCAGCCGTCAACCTGGCCCAACGATCACGATGCGCCCTTCACCTCGCAGCCAAGCGCCGCCTACATGATACTCGCCTGCAATGCTGGACTTCACTTCCCCACGTCAAGGGACTGGTATACTTGCAGCCAATGTAGATGTCAAGCTGCTCGATGTCCAGGCGCGCAGGAAATTCCGTGCTGGGGGCTGCTGGCGTGCCCAGATGTCTCCTGACAAAGAATGCCGGCTGGGCGAATTCTACAACTTCCCCGCGGTCTCCGTCGGCCCCGACAGGGCTGCGGCCAGGTTGCCGACGGCGCGGCCCGCTCGCAAACCCTCGCGCGCGCCAGCAGTCTCAGCAAGGGCCCTGGCGCACTTTTCGACCTCGTCGCAAAAATCGCACAACGTATCATCGCGAATCGTCCGGGGCCGCCCTGTCGGACCGCCCGCAAAAGTAAGGGTCTCGGGATGCATCGGCCCAAGCTCGCCGACGGGGTGTCGAAGGCAACGGCAGCGGACGAGTCCGGACCCTTCGCGCACCGCGATAGCGCTCTAACAACTGACGCCCCCGGGCACAAACGGCGCGAAATCACGGCGCTACGTCGCAAGAAAGCTCGCGCAGTCAACGCCCCGGACCTCGAACTCGCCCCGCGCATCTCCGCGGCGCCCCTCAGACCTCGCGACTCCAACGCCGCGCCTGCCGAATGAACCATCCTACCCGCGCGCGCGGCGAAGCCCGGCCCGGCTGCTCTGCCCTCCCCCCAAGGTCTCCCAGCGGTGCTTCCCGCAAGCCGGGAAACGCATCGTCTGCTTCGCGACGCAATCACGAATGTCGAAAACAGCATCTCGACAGTGAATGGCGCAAGACTCGCTGCTGCCCCGCGCGAACTCGCCCGCAAGTCGCTGGGGTCTCTTGGGCAGCGAGATGTTCGCGCTGGCGCGCGAAGATCTCGTCCGAGTCGGCCCCCCGGCGGTGCTCGGCCCCGCGCGTCGGCGCCGTCCGCCTCGAGGCGTCGAGCTCGCCGACGGTCTCGCGCCAGGGCCGAGCCTGACGCGCATCACCTAGATGCTCCGCCGCCAGCGGCTGCAGCGCGCGAGCGCGGCGCGGGGCGCGGCCGAGAACTCCCGAGCCCTGGCGACGCACGCGGCGCAGGCAATGCCCAGTGGCCGCGGGTGCCCGGCCGCGGCCGCAGCGAGACGCCCCTTCCGCCCTCGCGCGCCCGCGGCCTCCCCCGCGCACCGCGTGGCGAGCGGCCATGACCAAGGCGCATTGGTCAACCATCTCCAAGACTTCTGGACCAGCGCGTCCGCAGCTGCGGCCACCATGCCACTCCTGCACCCGTCGAGGTCCACGGAGGCGAAACCAA